AGTCGTCGATATCAGGAAGGTTCATTGTTTGGGTTTATAGTAGGTATTCGCAAAGCTTTCATTCAGTACCTACATCCAACTCTCTCATCTTCCATCAAAGGAAAAATCCAGAATAATGAATAATTCAACAGGCTAAGCCCGCTAACACCACTCAACTCATTCGAAGGTTCTTTAAACCTTTGTGGCTTAGCCCTGCTGATATAGTATTTATGATTTACATCTCCCAGTTGATTGTTCAAGGCAAATCATTTATGCACTCAGTATAAAAGAACAAACATAACGCTCACACATCAGAAGTAAAAGATATGAGTGGGAGAAATCAAAATGCTACTAAAGACAACTACTATTTAGATACTGTTTTTTGTAAAAATCGGTTAAACGATGCTAAAATACCTCCGCTTTTCGTTTTTATTGTTTGAATAAGCCCATAAAATTTAATGGACCAGAACTTCAGTGAATACGTGATTTAATTTAGCCTTAAGCCAAAACTGTAGATATCCTTATTTGAATGATCGGTTGTGCCCATCTAACTTTGTTGGTCATCTGCAGAAAATTCTCATTCTTACTTGCCAATTCTGTAATTGTTTTGTTAGGTAAGCAATCTAATAGCGCGAATGGTGGTTCATTATCTAGATAAGCCTATTTTAGACTATCAATACTTATTGAGTTGGTGTTTCCTCGCTTACGTATCATGAATTATGTAGGTTTCATTAAGGTAAGTTCGTGTGAACCGTCGAATGGAGAACAAGCTGCTGCTTTACTTTGTTAGACCTTATTCAGACATGCATGCAAGTGCTTAGGTCCTTGGATACATATGCCGATCGCGATTGTTCACGAGTACTAATTTATTCAAGTTTGAACATATAGTTCCGTGATTGGTCTACATAAGTTTCCAGATGAAGCTTTACTGTCAGTAGGAAGATTAATACGTACATTCAGTAGTTTTAGAGTCGTGTTGAAGACTAGTTCTGTTGCCGAATACCATGAGACACTTCTGACAGATATTTGTATTACCAACATAACTAATGAGATGAATTCTGTTAACTGACTGGGAGTGAAAACGTTCTTTTAAGTTTCCTACAGCTCTTGCTATCAAACATCAGGTCGATTTACTAGTTTAGACGGTTATTTGCAGATGAATCCGGAGACTTCTGATTTTCCTCTCTTTCCGAATGAATGTTCAAAGTGGAACCTCAATCGGCTTACTCAAGTGAAGGGTGAATGTAATACATTAATTGAAAAATTTTCGTGTAAACAACAAGTGATTCCTCAGTCATACAATATGATCGAAGAGAGCTTCATGAGGTTCACCTATCCATACTGTTATAGCAACTCACGTGCGCTTGAGTTTGTTCACATTTAATTCAATTAAGCCCTTTTGTTAATTTATTTAACGGACAGAGTCATCCGTACTATAATAATTTATCTATATCTTCGTAGCTTTATTATTGTTGTGCTTGTATAGAATATGTATGCTTGAACACTGCTTACCGCCTATGCATATATTCATTCTGATAGCTTTATTATTAGCTGCCTAATTCATATATATATATATATATATATATATATATATATATATATATATATATATATAGGGAAATGGATGGATCATTGAATGAATTAGGCAGCTAACAATAAAGCTACCAAAATGAATATATGCATAGGCGTTAGGCAGTGTTCAAGCATACACACTCTACACTCTTGGTTCGCTAACGCATTCATTCCCCTCTCTGCTTTGTGGTCTGAGTTATCTGCCAATAAAACTGTAGTTGCTGCTTCTCTTTGCCTTCTGATTTCAAACACCGTTGAGGATTATATGTTAACGCTTACGAGGGTGATTGGTCAACGAAGCACAGCCACTACATTGTCAAACGTCTTCCCATAGTGAAGGAAATTGATGTATAGTGATGAGTTCCATTCAGTTGATTACATAACAGTGTTCCGTAGTGACACGATTTATTATGTGCACGACTGATCCCTATGGAATCCGACCTGTTGTTCTTGAAGCTAAACGTCCATTGAATCTTTCAGCCGGTTGAGCAACCCACTGTTGTGGACTCTCTTTTGTGCTGACAACTGTGGGATGCATCTTTATTTATCCCGTGTGCTCCAATCTTCATTTTTTATATCTTGTTGAGGTATCCTTCTTTCAGTCTCTTCGGTATTGTTCCTCCCCAAAGTTCCTGAATAGAACGTGTAGCGATTTTTCTGTTACTTCTAAGTCTGACTTCAGTGTTTCAGTCGGTATATTGTCAGGCCCTGGTACTTTTCCACTCTCTACTTGATCACGCGGATTTCCTCTACCGTTGATGGAGTGACATCTATAGGTAGGTCGGTAGGCGCTGCTTCGATGTCCGGTGAATTCAGTGGATCTAACTTATTCACGAAGTCCTCGAAATATATAAACCCTATAGTCCTCAGTTCTTTAATCTCAGTGATGAGCTTACTTGCCTTTGACTGGACCTTCTGGTCTACTACATATGCCTGCCAATTTCTTCATTCAATCATATGGTTTTCTGATATTTTCTTCTCTTTCAGATTTTTTTACAGTTATTGTTCTTCCACGTATTTCTGTATGTCGGCTCTTCTTCACTTGCTTGTTTGCTTTTGTGTATTCATTCTGTGACTTGACTTCCTCAGCTCCTATTTCGCTGTTCTTCATTGTTGTCTTCCTTTCTTCCTTTCTTGAGTTTCGTTCATGGTTAATATAGAGATCCATTTCTCATCGTGATACTTCTTAAGGCCTAGAACATCCTGACACGTTGAAGTTAACGCTTCCTTTATACCTTCCCTGTTGTCCTTTATAATAGTTTTCTCTTCTTTGAGCAAATATTGTAAAGCTTCAAACTTGTTGCTTAGATCTATCTTCAATTGGTTAAGTTTATTAGCACTAAACCTTTGTTATGCTGTTTCTTCAGTTGTCCTGTGCTTCTTCAGCCCCATTTTTAACTCGAGCATAACAAGTTGATTATCCCAAGTTATATCAACTTCTCTCTTGGTTATCAAGTCTTACATGGATCATTATCAGTTTGGTAAATGTTTGAAGACAGATATATGCGCAAATCATCAATGTGAGCTGTCGATCAAATATCCTGCAAAGTGAAAGCATTGTCGTCGTATGAACGAAAACTGACTAAAAGTTCATACCATTGTCGTATAAAAGGTAAGTCAAAACCTATGCACTCTCCGTTAATCACATGGCTTGCACTCACTTTACCGACTTATGAGCATACAATTAACTGAAAACATCGTAAAGTACAGCATCTTTAATAGTACTGTACGAGCCGTTGTCGATACAAAACCCTGGAAATTCCCATTATTGTCACGTAACAAACCCGCATTTCATATAGATGACAATTCATATATTTTTGTAGTATAACAAAAACCTACTTCACACGCACGGCGAAATCATATCACATCAACATGATGCTCGTTAGTCCGCTCACAATACTTCATCAGATATTCTAGTTTCAATTTATCACCCTTCATTCTCTTCCAAGCCCTAATCTTCATACAGAGGACAAGTTCAGCAAATCATGTGCTTTAACTTGTGGAAGAAATCAAATGGTAAAAGTAAACAGGCTAGCTAAGTATATGAAATCCATAAATTTGGTTGTCAGTGATTGAAAGTCAGACGTTGAACGGGTAAGTAATATTCATTTTGTCTGTGGATACAGAAACGACGCGTTCCTGTCGGGCAAGTTGATGGAACCGACATTCCAATGGAAGTTGATTCTGCGAGTAAGTTAATATAACAAAAATGTTGAATGGTTGAGAGTTGGCCAAAAACGCATAAGTAAGTGTCAGAACATTAAAATGCACATTCAGTCTCTTGCTTTGAAAATAGATTATTCTATATTGGACGTTGAAAATCTTTGTGTCTGAAAAGGTAACCTATTGCTCTAGTATGTGCTGTCCCACGATCTAAGTAGAGACCTATTCACTACTTGTCTGGTTTCTTCTATCAACAATACAAGAGGTACCCACTGGCACGAAAAGTGCTTACTGGACCTTGCCATGGCTAGAGGTTTGACATGCACACGTTCACACCAACTGTTTTACCAAAAATGGTCGTAAACAAATGTAAATTATGTCTGTCAAATTTTGTCCTACTTTCATACTATTAAAGACTTTAGACTTTAGAAGCTGAGCGTACTGAGATCAGAATCAATAGAATGTGTTTCTTTGAAAGACCTATGAAACAAAATTATGTATGGTGTTATTCCCAATATTTTTTAGTTAGAAACAAAAATAACCTTTATCTAAAACTACCAATTTCTTCGCCGTAGATCACATTCCTAAAAAACGCAATAAATTAAGAAAAACTCTGTATTGCTGTGCCTGTATGGCTTAAAAGACGCAGTTACTCCAGAAGTGAACAAGGAAGCGAATCTCAGGATTAATGGAAAAACGTTACAAAAAATATTTCTGATATTTTACGTCATCTAGAATAAACTAACTACCTCAGAAAGTAATCTAGTATTTTTTCTCGAAATCGCCTGTGATCATATAAAGACAGGAATAGAAAAGCATACAGCAATTGTATATTGGATGTTAACCCATTGACCTTCAGCTTTGTTAATAAAACCGCAGTATTCACAAATTGGGCATATTATCGTGTTCTTTTTCAATTTCATGTTTTAAGCACAGCCGTTACAATGTCTAAGAATTCAAAGAAGAACAACAGTGAGAGACTTCTTTTTGAAGATGTTGTAAGATTTACTGGGTCCTTTATCTGTGAGAATCATGGAGATAAATTGAAAGAAGCTGCCGCAAAGCTGATATTGACAAAACTTAACTCAAAAACCGAACTTTCAAGCCACTTGAAGTGTTACGAAACCTACATATCATTTTACCCCGAAATATTAATTACTGGTATCAGGCTGGAGGGTCGAATTTTGCGTCAAGAGATACCTGGATTTTTTGTTTCTGCTAGGCATCCAAAAGCTTTGGTGGTTCTTTTTCAGCGATCACAGTTGGACGATGTAACCTTATACGGCATGGTTTTCAGTTCTTCGTCTAAGGCTCAAAAAGTTGCAGGATTTCTTGCAGAATCCAATCCTCAATTGAACGTGAAAGGAGAACCATCCGGTCCAAAAGTAAAATCTGTTACAATAGGTCCAAAGATACGTAAATCACCCGACAGTTGCTACAAGGAGGCCAATGGTTTATTAAAAACTCGTGAAACGTTAAATACACTCCCGCCACCGGGAAATACATTTCGTTCAGAAGTTACATGGAATAAAATTCCGGGTCAACAAAACAAAGAAAAATACTCCCCGAGTAGTACAACTGTTCATGTTAATGGCTCTTTACCACACGAAAACAATCAGCTCAAGTTTGGTAGGCAGAGAACCACCCAGGTAGATAGTACTCATCTAATGGACAGTCGCGGTGGGATGAATAATAATCACTCACACAATGGACCAAATGTATCAAAATATAGCAGTTTTTATCCAGTAAGTGCAAAAAATCATGTTCGTTTTCGACAGTATGCTGCTGGTTATAACGATAAGATGTTACGTCGTAGTACTCGCTCGATAATTAATCTCGAAGGAGCATCTGAGGAAAGCGGATTCGACACTCCATTCCCTTATGATCCGAATGAAAATATTGAAGAATTTTCTATTGGATATTATAATATCGAAGAAGGTTTTGGTATAGACGATCGTGATATACTTCATATAAAAGATGAAAAACAAATGGACACAAACGATCCTCAGGAAAACCCTTGGGTTGAAAACATAACTTACATAAGCAACAATAAGAATGGTAGAGCAACAGTTACTTCTAATGGGTCTGTATATTTATATGTCGCACAGCAAGTTAATCCGAGATTTGAAGTGACAGGTAAGTTCTGGCCAGGCCTTGTCTATGTATATTTATGAGTTCAAATCTAGGGGGTATTATCATGCTTAAGACAGGCAACGTATTATAAGTTGATTTGACATATAAGATATTTCAGTACTTCATTTGGAACAAACATTAAGTTTATACGTTACTTGCTACTTTAAGTAATTTTTCTTAATGAAGTTTGTGCTAAATGTTGCCCGTGGAAAAGTATATACGTTGTAAACTTTCAAAGGAAGTCTGTCATAGCAAACTTTTTAAATGCAACTTTTTCATAGATGCAAAACTTTATAAAATCTTAATGAAAAATATCTTATTGACTAAATATGTCTTTAAATCTCAACTTGATTACTTAAAAACAGAAAATGATATACAGTTTATGTGTTATTGTTTTCAAAAGAAATAGTTTTTTGAAAACTTAGTACTTTAACTTCACTAAGATAGATAGGAATAAGTTTGTTTACTTTTAGTGTTTTCATGCTTTCTGAGTTAAAGTAGGGCTAAGTATTTTAAAGTAGTTTTGAATATGAGTATTTATTCGCACTTTGGATGCAAACCATCTGCAAAGACATTACTTCACGTTTCTTTGCTATGGGTTCAGTAAGTGTTGTAACTTATTGTATGTGGCCATAAAGCCGCCCCCCAAATGCCTGGTACGGCCAACAGTGGGGAAAGTCAGCTTCTCCTCTTGAAATGTTTTCACATGGCCGTGTGCATTCAACCACTGCCAGGAAATTCCTAGTCATTGCCTTCTCGTGGTGGATATATGGCTTACGAAATTGAAAGGACGGAAAGCGAATGTCCGGCGCTTTAACCGGGTTGGAGGACACAGACGGTACACCTATGGGCATCTGAAAACCCTGATTCCAAACCAATGGTGCATATGGGCTCCAGGATCCTAAGGAAACAAATGGCGAATGAAACTATTGTTAATCACGGTCTACCATAGGCCCACATCTCCTGACGTTGCTCCACTGCCTTGTGTATCAGTTTTTCCAGTCGAAGGCTCCGGGTGTCGCCCCCTAAGAAGGCCACCTGCTTCGGTTTGGGCACCCGGGCAGTACCACAACTCTTACACGAATCAAGTGATTTATGTGATGCATATGCATTTGGCACTGTTTTTTTCCAATATTTTTGTGTTTAAATAAATAAATATGTGGACACACAAGTTTTTATTTCCTGTTGACTAAATTTTATCCATGTTAGATAAAATAAAGCTTCCAAAATGTAAGACTATTTGATCTATTCCTAAAGTAAAGACTGTTTGTTTGAAATATTAGAGTTGTTCCCCTTTTTAAAGCAAAAATGTTCCAAACTAAGATAAATGTTTTTTGGTTTAATGAATGATTCAACTGATTTAACTCAATTTGAAAGAAGTGAGTTTCCCTAAAGACCTAAATTTTAAAAAAAATAATTAAACGTTGGAGCAAACCATCGTGTGCATTATCATACTTTTAATTTTAACGAAATATTTTTAATTTTTACTACCGATTTCCACTTACCAGTTCTGCTAAGTTTCGCCCATTTGCTGTCGAAAATGCTAACCACATTATTTTTATATTCTTGCTCGCCACTAATTGTTACCTTAATAGCTTAGTTACATTTGCTTGTTGCTTTGTGAAGATTAAGTAAGTAACTAACTTGTTCCTTGAAACCCCACCGTGTTATGTAATCGATGATCCAGCTCAGTTAAGTTCCCTTTGTTATTCGTCTGTGAATACAAATTGTATTACAGAACAAAACATCTGATACAACTATTTCAAAATTGCTTGTACCGTTTTACCTCGCCATAGCCCACCCGCATGCTTTGATTCAGGTTGAAAAACGGTCAGTTCTTGCTATGACTTTGGAAAGTAGTGCTAGTTACCCATGTTTAAGTGTATGGCGCTAACGTTTTCTCCAGCTGTTGGTTTGTTAGAGTTTACACAGCTACTTACTCGAGGAAGCCCATCTAATCAAGTTGTAGTGTTTCTGGTATTACCACTCTCCATCACTTAAAAACAGATCACCGGCTAATCAATATTATCTTCGGTTATAGTCGTTTATATGCAGTGGGTTATAAAGTCCAACCAAGTAAGAGTAAACAGTAGTGGGAAGCTGTACATTTTTGTAATATCCCTCTCTGTTTCAATACAGTGCAGTCGACATTGAATGAAGGATAAATTTCTTCGTCGAACGACTAATCTTCTCAATAGGGAGTTCTAACCGAATACTATAGTACTAGATGAGGACTTGAACGTGTACTTAAGTAGTTAATAGAGCGGCTTTTGTGAATAACATGAACTCATCCTTTGCAGATCAGATTATAGGGGCTACCTTCCACAGTTTTGTTCATAAGATAAAATACGTCCGACCAGTTTCAATTCCTGGCAGAGTTCCAGTTAATTACTAAAATGGTACTTTGTGTATACAGGTTGTTTAAGCAATGTAAACCATGGCTGTCAAAACTGATTGACTTTGTGAAAATAACTATAAACCTGGTAACTACTAGAGGTTAATAAGACTAACCTAAACCTCCGTTAGTAACAAGCCTGGTTTCGAAGAAAAATCCGATGACAACACAGTGTCAGTAATAGAGACTACCAATTCGACTAATGTCATTTCCAAAAAATAATGACTTTGATTATTTAGATGGGTTTTAGGAATATCAACTCAGTGGCTTCTACACTTCTCTTAATTTGCTGTCGATAGGACAATCAAAAAGTTAGTTATTTTATTATACGACGTCGTGGGACAAAAAATTCGCATATGAATAACATATATTGGTTCATTACTGAACTGTGATTGAAGTTTTGAATTTCATAGAGCTTGATTTATCCAGAGACTATCCTGGTATATTTTTATGTTATACACTTAATTAGTGTAAAACTAATCTTATTAGATAAAAAAATTATCCTGGTTACATCTTTAGTCGTACTATACTTATTAATTATAATTTCTAATCTGCTATTAAAATACACTGACCTGTTGTTTTATATTTCCCGATAAAATTATCGATCTCTCTCGTACGTCTCATTTTTAGAACCCCTTAGCACCATTTTTTGGTACAAATAAAAAAAATGAACATTTATTAGGTTCCTATTAACTGAAATCTATATGAAACCAAGCGTTTTCCTTGGGTGATCTAGATGCACAGTAATGTTGTCTTCCCAAAGACAGAAGTAAAATTTGGGAAATTTTCACCCTGGAAGCGTTAAACTTCATTGCTTTTCGAATTTACAGTGCAAGTATTAACTTTCAAATAGTAAAGACTCTGTACTATCAAACTAAAAGTAAATGCGTCAGTCAGTCAGCTACAACGTGGGACCAGGCACATATGTGCATCGGTCCAGGTTGCCATACCTCATTAGCACAGCAAGATGAACAGCGGATTCATAGGAGTGGTTAGGTCAAAGGTTGAAATAAGGATATAGTATAGGAAGAAAGAATTAGTTCGTAGACAGAAAGAATGAAGTGATTTTAGTCTCTTAGTTTAAAAGAAGACAGGGAGTGTATACACCGACGCCATTGTGATCGATTCTGAGCCATGTCACCAAGAGTCTCCAACCATTGGTTACGAAAGTCACGCGGACCCCAACCAAGTAGTCTGCATCTACCAACATGGCTCAGACTAGAAGTTAGTGACTTCAGGCACTGATGCCACGTTTTGGTTTGGCCGCCCCTAACTTTCTTCCAACCATCCCCTACCCCGGTTAGCATTGCACGTCGTGGTAATCGGTGTTCAGGCATACGTAATACGTGGCCCAACCATCTCAGTCGATGAAGATTCATAACCTCATCAACTGATTTACCATCATTCCCTAATACCCTGCGTCTAACCTCACTATTACTTACCCAGTGATCCCAGCAGATGCCAGCAATATTTCTAAGGCATCTGTGGTCAAATACTAGTAACTTACGGGTGTCTTCTACTCTTAAGGGCCATGTTTCGCAGCCGTAAAGTAAAACAGAACGAACTGCCGCGCAGTATACTCGCCCTTTTATTGATAGACGGATATCTCGCCTTCGCCAAAGATGACGTAAGTTGGCAAAAGCCAAACGAGCTTTTCGAATCCGTGCTGAGATTTCGTCAGACACCAACCCATTAGGGCTAATCAGACTTCCAAGATAAGTGAAGTTGTCAACGCGTTCAACTACTTCACTCCCTATCCTTAGTTCAGGTGTTGACCCAGACCAGTCCTGAAGCAACAACTTGCATTTAGAGGGAGAGAAGCGCATCCCAAACATTCTGGCATTGTTGCTTAGTGCTGCCAGAAGACTCTGCATTTTGTCAGCGTCTTCACCAAACAGGACTATGTCATCTGCGTATTCTAAGTCGATAAGTGGACCTCCTGGAAGGAGATCAATACCCGAGAATTCAGTCGACGAGAGTGTTATTTCCATCAATAGGTCTATGATGAAGTTAAACAGAAATGGAGAAAGTGGACAGCCTTGACGGACACCACTTGAGGTTGCAAAAGTAGATGACAGTTCGCCATAAGCCCTGACTCGACTAGTAGTGTTCGAGTAAAGAGCCTTCACAAGGTTTATGTACTTCTGAGGTACGCCTTTCAATGACAGACACTGCCACAGAGTCTCGCGGTCTACCGAGTCAAATGCTGCTCTTAAGTCGAGAAATACCACCATCGTCGGACGCCGATAGGTATGCCTGTGTTCTAGAACCTGACGAATGGTGAATATGTGATCGATGCAGCCACGACCAGGTCTAAAGCCAGCTTGGTTCTCTCGAGTTTGTAGTTCACGAGTCTTAGTTAGGCGTTCGATAATTATCGAGGCCAGTATTTTAGATACTATGTTTGTTAAACTAATCCCTCTGTGGTTGTCACAGGATGATTTTGACCCTTTCTTATATATTGGGACGATAAGTGATTGCGACCAGTCAGATGGGATAAAGTCTAATTCCCAGATCTTAGCTAAAATATTAGTCAACTTAATCGCTAAAATTGGACCACCATCCTTAAAGACCTCTGGAGCCAATCCATCTGGACCAGCTGCCCTTCCTCGTTTCAGATTAACTATAGTCTTTTGAACTTCAGCAAGAGTCGGGGGACCTACTTCAATGTTCCATTCACACTGTCTGGGAATGGAGGGTAGTTGTAGAGTAGCTGAAGGCCAGCTGAACTGTTCCCTAAAGTGTTCCGCCCATCGTTCTAAACGCCTGGACTTGGAGCAGATGAGTGTATCGTCTTTTTCCGATATAATCTCACTTACACTTGACTTATTAATTCCAGTTTCTTTTATTAGTCTGTAAAGCTGTCTTGTGTTCCCTATAGTCGCCGCCTTTTCCATCTCTTTTGCTTTCGATGCCCACCACTGCTCACG